TATAGTATTTTTTTTATTCTATTTGAATATTGAAAGAAATTTTGTTATTTCAAAAAAAGTAATTTGTTGTAATAAATCATTGCATTCAATTTTAACAATGTATTTAGTTTTAAAAAAAAACTTATTTAATTTTAGAAAAATAATTGCATTTAAATTTAAGTAGACAGCATCAAGTTTAAATTATAAAATATTACAAATATTATATACAGTATAAATAACTTCATAGTTTTTAACAATATCTAAAACAGAGAATAAAAGCTATTTCTTTAAATAACATTTCTTGAAAGAAAGAAAAAAAGAAAGCATTTATAGTGATAAAGTTTTGTGCAAAGCAACTGCAACATGCATCTTGTAAATTATTTACATTCATGTGACTAAATAATTTAGAATAAATTAAATAACTTTTTTTAAAAAAACATAACATTCAAATCACCTGATCCAGACCGCTGATAATTAAGACCTGACTTGTATCTTTGTTCTTCATAAGTAGCTAAAGCAATGACAAAATCACTATGTATAATATAAATAATACTATACTTTTAAAACAAAGTGTTAACAACTATTTCATAGGAATGACATAATTACGGGAATTAAAGTTCATTCTCATTGGTTCAAGCTCCTCTTCATCACTCCAATTTAATTTGAATGGTTTGTTTTCTTTTCTTTCATTGATTTGATTATTTTGTTGCAAACGATCAACCCAAGCATAATGTGTTTGCTCCAGGTGCTTTGGTTTTCTTGCTAAAAGAAAAAACAGTTTTTTAACAAATTGTTGCAACTAAATACTAAATTAGAAAACCTTTTGGAATTTTACATTTAAAGTAATCTAATATTACTCAAACGTTATGTCTTAACTTCAAACTGTTATTATATTGTAGAAAAATCTAAAACAATTAGTAAGGAACTTTTAATTAGTCTTTAATATGTTTATATGCTTTTTAATGTGTTTTTTTAATATAAATTATTGATTAGGATAGGTTAAGTGGAAGTTAGTTTAATGACAAGATAAAAAAATGAAATAAATTTCTCATTATGTTTATTTTGAGAAAATTAAAACCTAACGGGGTATGGAATCAACTATGAAATCATTTTATAAGTTTGAATCAGATGATGGAACTTCAGAAGCTGCTATGTGGAAAAACAAAAAACGAAAGTGATTGCTAAAATGAAGAAAAAAAATGCTGAAACTACTTTTTCTAATTCTCTATCAAAAAACTGCTTCTGTTTATGAAATTTTAACTGTTGAAGATTAGCAAGGTGCAAATGAAATTGAGCATTCTCTGTGGAGTTCAGAAGCAATGAATCTGCGCCACCTCATTTCTGAACAACAGTGGGATTAGGGCATTATCTATTATTCATTTGAAAGTTAATAGTATGGTGGCAACAGCTTTGGTGGACACAGGGTGTTCAAAATTGATTTTAAATTACAAGTTTTGTCCAAAAATCTGAAGTCTCCAAAGGTTCATTAATTTATTGGATCAGCAACTGTGACTTTCAAGGTTATTGATATCAAATTATTTTGATATCAATAACGTGACAAAGTTATTTTGGTAGATTTCTAACTTTTTAGAACTGTTCGGAATAGTTTCATTATGTTAAATGAAAAGTTCCATTATGTTATTAGAAGGAGTTCTTATTTCATCATCAGGAATGGCAAAGTTTAGGACCAGCTGTTGCAAAAAGGCGGAAGGAAAATAATGAAAACGATATGGAACCACCCAAAGGACAAATTCCTTTAATAGCTGTGATTCAAAGAAAAAGATAACAAAGTTTAGGATTAAAGAGAAGCTAATCGGGCTGAAAAAAAGAGGAGATCCAAAATTAGAAAAGAAAGAACACAGATCATAAAATGTAAATTGTAGTATGAAGATTGTAGAACTAGAAATTCGTAGATCAAAAATCTAAAACAGCAGATGAAGCTATGAGAGTCACAACTGATGACTTAAATGGAGGAAGAGTGTAATTGTATTGTGGAAAACTCTAAAATTTACCTGATTAGTTTTTAATTAGTAACTATTTTAAATATATTTATATGATTTAAATATATTTATATGATTTTTAATGTGAATATTTGAGGTTTTTACTTTAATATAAATTGATTGATTTTGTAAAATATTAGATTAAGTGAAAGTTAATGACAAGATAAAAAAATAAAATAAACTTCTCTTTGTATTTATTATAAGAAAATTACACAAACCATGCACACAAAAATAATATTTTTGCCTATTAACTGATATTTTAATAAAAATATTTTTTTTTATTTTTGTAAACAACTGTTATTATAACAACTTAAGTCAAAATAATTAATGTGAGCATATAATTATAAACAGTAAATGTAACTAATTGGTCAGAGGTGTAATTGGTTTAGGTCATAGGATAAGGATGGTGGGAATAACACTCAAACCTTTATTACTAAGTATATTGTCAGTTGAAATAGAATCAAGTTCAGAGTCAATGTTGTCAGAGTAGTCAATTTCGCCACCAAATTCAATTTGAGAATCTAAAAGAGTTCAACAGCTTATATAAAGTCATAAGTCAGCATAATAAAAAATAAAGTTCATAAAAAGTTATCAAAATTGAAAAATATTTAGTCTACTAAATATTATTTTGAATAATTAACTAAATAACATTCAGTCAATATATATATATATATATATATATATATATATATATATATATATATATATATATATATATATATATATATATATATATATATATATATATATAAATATATATATATATTTATATATATATATATATATATATATATATATATATATATATATATATATATATATATATATATATATATATATTGTAGAAATTATGTTAATATTTCCAGTAAGAGTGCTCAATACAGCGTTTTATGTAATTAGTAGAGCAAATAATATAGTGAAAACTTATTACACAGGGACTAAAAAGTTTCAGTATGTGTTTTTTTCCGATATATATATATATATATATAAATATATATTTATATATATATATATATATATATACAAATAGTATTGCGTACTAAGGTAAGCAATCTGACGTCATACTGAAATAGCCTGCTGCTGGGGGCTTCAGTACATACATCGACTGACAAATAGCCTGACTCGCAGTGGAGTGCTGCTACATCAACTGAGGGTTTGGGATGGGACAGCAATCGTTTCACTCATCATTCTTCATTTTTTTATTAAAGTGACATCTTTAATAGTATGTATAATAATATTATAAGCATATACTATTTATTTCTTTTTTCACATAATAAAACATAAAAAAGAAATAAATAGTATGACACCATATATGATGTTTTAATAGTTATAATATATATATATATATATATATATATATATATATATATATATATATATATATATATATATATATATATATATATCAGGCTTTCACAGGAAGACGTGCAATTTCACATCTTTATATGACCACGCAAAAAAAAATGTTAAAATTTAAAAAAATTAATAAATATTAACGAAAGAGAAAATAAAAAAAATACTTATGTAAAGCAAAAACACAAAAAAACAAATATATGTATATATATAACGCAACTAAAACAAAACTCAAACTAAAATGCTTAGTCTACTTAATTTATGCATTAAAAAACCTTTTCAATCTTTATTTCAACATTTTTATATATTTTTTATTTATTTAATATGTTCAAAAGTTAAATATTTCTCATAAAAAATACATAGTTATATAGATAAAATATAAAAAATATTTTATTAATACTTTTTTTTAAATTAATTAGAAGTGTTTTTTTTTTTACTTCATTAAAAGCATTTCGATAATATAAAAGCATTTAAGATCAAACTTATTAAATTGTAACAGTTTTCTAAAACTTTTTTTTTTAACGAAATTTTGTTTATCTTTTTGCATTGTTTATCTCATGCATTAACTTTAATCATTCTTATATTTAAATTCGTTAAAGAGACTTTCGTAGTCGTAGAATGTCATCGTTTATAAAAACAAAATAATTTTTTATTTTTTAATAAACTTTATTTTAGAAATGAACACTTAAACAATTTATGTTTTAAATTTAAAAAATATATACAACTGTCAATTTAAATATATATATATATATATATATATATATATATATATATATATATATATATATATATATATATATATATATATATATATATATATATATATATATATATATATAGGGGTCAAAATAAGAGATGGACATTGCCACTCCTCAGACCATTTGCGAGACCAGCTTGAGGAGGGCAACAAACCATTGCTTATTTTTTCAGTAAAAATGATTGGTTGCCCCTATAAATTAAGTCTCAAAAATAGTCCAGGGGCGCCAATTTCCGACACCTATTTCAACCCTTGTGTGTGTGTATGTGTCTATATATATATATATATATATATATATATATATATATATATATATATATATATATATATATATATATATATATATATATATATAAAGAATTCCATTAAGAATCACACACGTATATACACATTAGTTACCAGCAATTTTTGGTATTAAGTTACTTCAAGTTGTAGTAGATATTTTATAAGAAAATAAGAGTTAACTCAAGAATAAAAAAATTTTAAGTTAACTAGTTGCTATCTTATTTAAAAAGTTTGAAAAATCAACATAAATGACCAGCTTTTTTGAAGAATTAAAAAGAAATGCGTCATTAAAAATAAGTAAACGTAAACAAGATATAAACTTTCTAGCGGTTTATTAATTTTTTTCTATATTAAAGTTAAAGCTTTCAAGCTAAAAAGTTAAATGTTTTTTTTCATTAACTGAAACAGAAAAATATCTAAAAAAGATATTTACCCAAATAAGTTGCAACTATGTTTTTTTCAATTTTTTATTTACATAAGTTCATCTAATTATATGGATTTTAGGTAAAACTACACTGTAAAAAAACTCCGAAATATTTATCAGACTTTTTCCATTGTTTTGTTATGGAAAAAATCCGTTTTTAGTTACAGTTTTTTACCTATACTTTTTTTTAATTACAGTTTTTTACCTATACTTTTCAGACTTTTGAAATAATCACATCTTTTTACGGGACTTCAACTGTATATTTTAGTTTACTTTAGTATAGCCTCTAATTTACAGAGTGCCATAATTCTTTTTAACGAAGAGAAGTTATACACATTTTTAATTTCAAGTTGGAGATTTTAATATATTTATATTTGTTTTACTGGAACTAGAGCAGCCGTGGCGCAGTGGTTAGAGTTCTGGCTCAGAACCCAGAGGTCCCAGGTTCGACCCCAGCTCTAGCCCAACAAGCAACATTGGTACGGAAAGAGGCGTGAACTTCCTGTTAAATGCTCTCTCGCGGTGCTCTATGATAAGACCGTAAGAACTTCTGGGAGTACCTAAATACATACAAAAAAAAAAAGAAAAAAAAAAAGTGCTGTATGTTTTTAAAGAAGCGCATTCACAAAATTTTTTTTGTAATTTAGGTGCTGATTTTTTTTAAGGGTGCTGTTATAAATAGATATAGATATTTATTAAAGGTAGGTACTTCTGTAAATTAGTTTCCTATATTAGATAGAGTTTATATGGTATAAAAATCTTTTCTTATGTATTGAATTTTTTGAAGCAAAGTTAAAAGAAAAAATGTTCATGAGATTTTTGAAAGTAAAAAACTTTAATAAGTTTTTAAAAGAAAGCAAAAAAAAACTACTATTTTTAAGTTTTAATAATTTATGTTGTTTGAATTGTTTATCTTGACGTGTATTTTTGTGTATTGTTAATATTGTTGTGTATTTCTATTTTTGTTTATACTGTCATGTAATTTTGTGCATCGTTTATATTGACGTGTTCATATGTGTATTGTTGTGCTGTTGTGCTTTTTTTTTTTTTTGTGGTGTTGTTGCTAATTATTTTTATTATTGTTGCGTTTTACATTTGCTGCTATTATTTAAGTGATTACATATTTTTTTTGTCTCATAATATTTAAATGTATCTTTTTGTTTTATATTTTATTTTCTTTTATATCACCCTTCTGATCGTTAAACGTTGTGTTATCTCATTTATTCATTATCTCTCAACTCAGCTCATTCACTTTTTCCTTTTTTGTTATTAGTTTGGCTTTTTTTAATAGTTATTATTATCCTTTTTGTTATAATTAGTTTTTGGGCACTATCTATACTATTACTTTTTGCTGCATGTTTGTTTTTTGCTTTTTTTTATTTTATTAAGGTGTCACACCAATAAATAGTTCTTAACTATAAGAGTGACACTGAACCTAATTTTGTAAATTAAAAATAAATCTGTATTTCTTTTCAATGTTTTGGTTAAATTAATGGATTAAAAAAAAATACATATATATATATATATATATATATATATATATATATATATATATATATATATATATATATATATATATATACATATATATATATATATATACATATATATATATATATATATATATATATATATATATATATATATATATATATATATATATATATATATATATATATATATATATATATATATATATATATTAAAATTTAAAACTTTATCCATAACATGGGTTCCTACCATGTGAACTTGATATTGAACATAAATTGCACATTCTAACACCTAGTGTAATACTGTCCTCTGTCTCAATGCCAACCTTCTAACTGGACTTCTTCTAACTTTCTCCCTAACATTCTTCATTCTTCTAAAAACCACTTACCTCTGGTCTGCAAAGGGGTTATGATGCTATTTAATGAGCTGAACTGGTTTTTGTAGGCCTAGGTATGTAGCCTCTATATAAGGCAGTTTTTCAGAGGAGGATAAACCACATGGAGGATAAACGCATGGAATAAAGGTATATATTAAATAAAATAGTATGTTAGATGTATTTTTATATTTACTTTTTTGTAGTGCAGTCTAAAAAAGATCTATTTTTAAATTATTTAAAATAGTGGTTTTTGACAAAGTTGTCTGTAGAATAGAAATTTTGATGTTAATAATTGTTAAATTATTATTTATTTGTATTTATATACATTGATTAATTTTGATTGTAACTTTTAAAATGAAATACTACTATTGATAGTTTTTCTTAGGTTCATGCCTTGGTTTCGGTTTCAACCCAACCTTGAATTTTAAATGTACCTGCATCTGAATCTTCCATTGCTATGCTAGACAATTAGATAAATGTTTTCAAAGTTTCCTGGAAAAGCCAACTGAAATCATGGATTTACTTTACAAGAATGCTCCTTCTTTGCCACAAAAAACACGAAAGTACAATGATAAGGGTCATTTGTGATGATATACTTTCATACTTGTTTATAAAAAATCTATAAAAATCCATAGCTTTTTCATATTACCTGCAATGTATTCTTTAACTTTATCTACTTTTTACCTATACTTTCTTCTGTATCACTACATCCTGATTACCTGCAACTGCATGCTCTACATGCTCACTCTACATACAATTTTTCAACATTACTTCCTTTTTTTTTTTTTTTTTACTGTAAATAATGATTTATTATTCTGATCTAATTATTATTATT